TAAATTTTTAAAAGAAAAATTTAAAGTGATAAAACATAAATAGTGTCCTGGAAGCTGCAGCTCTAACAAGCTGCACTAAACAATGCCTTAAATATTTTTTCAAGACAGACTGTATACAGTTTGTCCCATAAAATAAATTAGTTACTTAAGTTTATTATAAATTTTAACTAATTTATCTCTATAAAATATTTCTTGAATCATTATATTTTATTAATATTATAATATCACTTTTTCAAAACTTAAAGGACTATTCTTTCTGTTAAATATGACAAAATTTTGTACTGGTAAACTATTTTGAAATACTTTTAAAATTTATAGACCATATAGAAAGAAAATAAACTTTCTAGACTAAAATTAAATTAAGCTTATAGTTAATAAACTAAAAATTGAATTAAGCCTAAGCACTTTAGTCCTAAAACTTCTACTCTATTCAATGAGGTCCTTAGTTGCAATTTTGAATCCTTCAATACAGTTCATCAACTTCTAAAAATATTTCACTTAAGTTCAAAAACTTCTATTATTATGCATGCAAATTCTTTCTTTGCGCAAAAAATAAAAGTTATGTAAAATTCATTAAAAAAACTACATTTAACTTATCCAAACACAAACAAAATCAAGGCTAAAATAAAAAAATTAAAACATATAAAATTTATCTCATCATAATTCATAATTAAATATTTGATATAGGTTTATGCTTGTTCGTGACTTTAATATTTAAGCCTAAAAAATAAACATACGTAACTCAAAAATACTTTTCATAATTTAGGGTATAAGTTAGTAAAAATATATTGCCCTTTTTTATTATCGTCAAAATTCTAATTATTAAAATTGACAAATAAAAACCAAAATTAAAAAAATGGATAACTTGTTAGGTACAAATTCTTATAACTAATAATCAAAATGAAAATTTAAACTTATTAATTTTTAATTTTATTTTAATAATATATAATTTATTGCAATGGAAACAAAAAATAAACGATGACAAAGTCACTGAACAGACTCTTCGTGTCCTACCCTTTTCTCTTTTAAGCTTTTTTGCCCCCGACAAATGACATCAAACGGAGAGAAAAAAAAAAAAAAAAAGGAAAAAAGAAGAGAAACATGACGCATTTGAAGAATTAATATGAAAGTGAGATGGATGATTAAAGTCTTGAGTCAATAATAAGACGAAGCCTTCGAACCAGAGACTTAGGGTGCGTTTAGGTTGCTTTGAAATGCTGTGGCTTAAACTGTGATTGTACTTAACTGTGATCGTGTTGTGCTGTAAATGTAACTAAAAGTTATTTTGGTGTTTAGTTATTTATTTTTTAAAAATATTATAAATGAAATATAATAGATGTTATTAATTATTAATTAAAATTTAAAAAATATTATAAGATATATAATTATTAAAATATATAATATTTATTATTTTTTTAATAATTTAGGTTTTTAAAATTTTTTAATTATTAAATTAGTATAAATTATGATGTAATTAAATTATATGAAATTGAGTTTTAATAGGTAATTTTGTACTTATATTAAATATTAAGTGTTTTTCGTAAAAGTTATAGTTAGAAAATTTCAAAATGAGACTTTTAATGTTATACATAAAATTACAATAAATTTATTGTGGCTTAAAAAAAATTTTAAAAAAAATTACTAAACACATATATATCTAAAAATATTGTGTGATTACACGAAAAAACTTTCAACTACAATCCCAAACATATCTTTAAAGTTAAAATGTTATTACATGTAAATTTAGTCCAACTTTATCCCTTTTTTTTTATAGGCACTTTACACTTGTTTTGAAATTATAATAATTTATAATAATAATCACATGATAAAATTAAGAATTATATTAATATGTTTCATGTACTCTAACAGCTGTAATCAGACAAAATTTTAAAACATTCAAAAATTAAGTCATTGTAATTAATATAGGCATAATAATATCATTACTATGTGATACTATAAATTTATAATATTATATGTTATTATATAAATTTTTTTATTTAAAAATATATTTATAATATTATATATATCACTTATTAAATAATACATTATATATATTCATATAATTATATACTATAATTATAAGTTTATAATTTTATATTTTCTTTATTTCAAGATAACTATCATTTTTTTACTTTAAATTTATTCAAATTAATTGTGGTTTTTTTTATTTTTTTGAAGTAAATAAGTATTTTATTTTACATTATCTCTATTATTATTTAATTATTTTGATTAATTATTTTATCACAAAAATTATTCTTTTATCTTTTATTTTTAAAAATAATATAGTAAATAAATACAAAAAGTGTCTTTAAATATTTAATTTGAAAAAAAATCATAAGAATAAATATATTTTGAGATAGAAAAAGTAAAATATTATAGGTATAACATTATTGATAATTTAATAATTTAAATGAAAAATGTTTAATTTTTTTAAAATAAGATTTAAATTTAAATTTAAATTTTGTAAATGAAAAAATAAACTTCAATTATTTTTTTTTTAATGGAGTATAATACTGTTTGAATCTAACTTCTTTTTTATTTTGGCCATCCTATAAAATTTAATTGTGCAATCTGCCCCCGAATATCCAAAAATAAAATATTAAAAAACTTTCCAGAAGCCTTAGAACTAAGTATGGGAATTGAAAATTGAAAATGATATAATTATATTATTAAATAATAGAAAAAAATTTCTGTTAGCCTTACTTTATAAAGATTAAGAGGAAAATCATCTTAAAACAACGTCGTTTTAATAATTTTTTATTAAAAAAGACTAAACTACCCTATTTTTAAAGCATGTATTAAGGTGATTTTTATTATTTTTCCTCTTAATTTTTTAGAGGTAAGGCGGACAAGTACTGTCCCTTTTTTAATATAAAGCAAAAATTACAAAATTTTCTATTAATTAATTTATAATGATGACCAATCAAATTTTTGTTAAATAAAAACAATTAGATACTAACACATTAAATAACAAAAAGACAATGAAATGAATGTGTTAATGATAAATTAAACATCAAAACTTAATTTAAAAATGGGAAGGAAGAAGTCACACCTTAAACTTGCATTTTATACTCAATTCTTTTACATATAAATTTGTCATGAGAATTTAAAATTTTCAATCCACTACCAATTTGTGACGAAAGGATATTATGGAGATGTTTTTCAATTTGTTAGTAGATTGAGTTTTAAGTGCTTACTATTATTATATATTAAAGTGTTAAATAAAAAGTTTTATTGAACATCAAAGACTTAGCAATCGAAATTACCATAATGAAGTTATAAATACGTTGAGTTATTCATGAATTACTCAACTCAAATTTGAGTTGAGGTCAAGTCAACTTGCACTCAAGAAAAAATTAAGTTTGAAAAATTGAGTTGAGTCAAGTTTAACTCAAGTTCAAGACTCACTCCACTTAATTGTATTAAAAAATAACTATATATATTAAATATTTAAGACTTTATTTCAATTTTAATTTTAAATTATATCTAAGTAATCAGTTGCATTCACAAGTTAAATTTGAATTCAATATATTTAATTGAATTAAAAACCTAAACTTAACTGGATTTGTTACTGTATAATTAAACTCAAATTTAAGTTTTAAACACCTATTATAAAATGGTTCTAACAAAACTATTAACAGCTAACCCTAATATATGCCACATCAAACAACCACTATCTAAGCTTATAGCTTATAGTAAATGTATGCTCAAATACCGTTAAAACTCAAAACCCAGAATATTCAGAGGGTATTAACATGACACACAGGTTACTAGAATGTTATTTTTAAAAATCGTTAAAAGATGAGAAAAGAAGAAATTGACAGCGAATTATTAATAAAAAGGATGTGAAAGAATAGAACATTTTGGAATTGAAAATATTAAGACATTTAATAACCGCAATAATAATGGGTGAAACATAATATAAGTTCTATTTAAATATTATTTATTATGGCAGAGTGTCTTAACTTTTACTTTTTGATTAATATCAATATTATTATAAAAAAATCTCTTTTTTTTTAGGATAAAATAAGTAAATAGTCATAAAAAATGGTAGTAGATAAATAAAATAAAAAATGTTTATTATTCAGAAATGGTGTAACAAATAAATAAAAGATTTTTTTAATAGGTAATGATTTGAGAATAATTTTTTATATATATTTTCTTTATAACTTTTATATGTTATTAAATGAATAAATATATATAACAAATTACACTAAAATAAAAAAAATTAATTATTAAATGATATTTAGAATTATATGAAAAATTAGTAAAAAAAATCATCTGAATAATTTTCTCCTTTCTAACTTATATCCTTATGTAACAGTTATGAGTAAAAATTTACCTCTCTAATAGATATTCTCACTCGAGTAAATACTAATTTAGTTCCTAAACTTTTAGATTTGTATAAAAAATAGCTATAAGTTTTAAAAATATTAAAATAGCCCTTAAACTTAATATTTTGGCACCAATTTTGTTTTTTCCGTTTACAGAAATGACAGCTATCATGTTAAATTCCCATGGTACCTGTTTACACCATAAATTGCAAAATTTTAAATTAATGCCACGTGTAAAATTTTTATTGGCTGGAGAAGTTTGAGCCATGTCAGATTCGGATTCTGGGCCCTATGACAAATCAGCACATGTGTTGGTAAAATAGGAGAGGTAAAGATAATTTTTTATGGAGTAATTATTTTCTTGAAACAGAAAGGGATAATGGCAGCTGGAAAATAGGAGAAGATTGCAGTTAAAAAGGGGGTTTTATCCGATAAGAGTCCAAGTGGCGAAATCTGCAAGGGGATTAGACTAGGTCAAAAGGTGAAGTGTCCCACTACTTCAAAAAACCACCCATGATTGAGTAACTGCAGAAGGTGGAGGTAACTGCAAGCACAAGAAGAACAAAAAGGAAATTTTGGGAAGAAGAACACACGGCCAGCCCTACTCAAACATCAGCAAATTTTCATACTTTGATTTTCTCTGCATATGCTTCCAAATTTCGGTTTTCAGCACAGATTTCGTATTCCAGCACAGATTCCATTAGAATTAGGTTGTTTTTCATCTTTCCAGTAGACAAATTAATTCCTATATTCAGTTAAACAATTTCCTTTCATGCAATGAACTTCAATCCTTCAAGTTTATGCAAGGTATTGTTTTCTTTTCATTTGTAATTAATTTAATGTTTATGTTAAGTAGCATTGCTTCAATGATTACTTATGTGGCTTTCATGCTTTTTTCCAATTTCAAGTTCTTCAATTTCTTTACTGTTCACGTTTAATTTTAGTGCTAATTTAGGAGAAAATTTCCAGTTCTGCAGCAATTTAATTTCTGAATCTGTCAATATATTGCATTCTAATTTTACCATAAGCATGTTTAATTTAGTTTAAGTACATTTCTTTCTCGCAAGTTTATTTTAAATTGCAGGTAATTTAAAATAATTAGGATTTGATAATTTTAAGTAACGGTAGTGTTTAAGTCCTTGGAGTTGTCAAAGGCAAATTTCGTAACCCAATCTGCAGGAAGGCATCCCTCCCTCTTGCAAATTGTCTGAAGGCGCAATTTCAATTTTAATCCAACGTTCTTCCCACCATCTGCGAAGAGGTCGACCGTGAGAAAGGAGAGGGTCGTTGAGAAAGTCCTCCTTTCTTACTTTCAGCAAAGTAAGTGGCATGCTCGCATCCAGATTTCACACGTGTGAGGCCACTAGAGGATTTTTGAGGAAACAGTACCATTCCTTTTTAAAAAAAAAAATTAATGATGTGTAAAAGAGAATGCCCTTTTTTTTTATGATGTGGCATTATTAGCTTTTCACATCAAATTTCCATCTTTTCCTAAAATTAACAATAATGTTTTTATTATTGAATTAAATTTAAAAGTAAAAAAATAAATAAATAAAAAAAAAAAACAGAGAGAGAACCCAAATAATGGCAATTCTCATTTTTAGTCTCTAAACTTATATTATAAATTCAAAGACTAAAATATATATGAACAAATTTAATATATTAACTAATGAAAAGACTAAAAATGTATAATTTATCATAGTTTAAGAAAAAAAGTGAAAAAAAAAGTTCATAAATTAAAAATATTTAAAATTGAAAACTTAGGACTAAAATTTATATTTTTACACATGAAAAATTTTAATATCCATGTTAGCATTAAATTTTAAAAATAAATAAAAAATTTAACAGTGTACAGTGCCTTGTCACCATTTAACTTACGAGAGAGACTAAAAGGGGATAAAAAATAAATAAATTTTAAGGACTGAGTTTTGAGTTCAGGGACAAGAACAGGGTCTATACGGGAGTTTTAACCTTTTTGGTCTATTTTATTTGTCAATAGGAGATTTTAAATGATGCTTTTTATATAAGGTAAGGATAATGATTTAATTTTTTGGGTAAATATTACATTTATTCTCCAACTTCTACCATAAATAATAGTATTGTCCTAATTTTTTAATTGAACCAAAAATTATCCTTATTTTATTTAAATGATCGAACTTAATCATATTGTTAATTTTTTTTCCAAATATTTGATAGAAATCTGACTAGAATTTTGTGAGACCCATGAGGACATATCAAATCTCAATTTCCTGAGATTTTTTAAATTTTGCTTCTTTTTTCCAACTCAAAATCTCTATTTCATTGTTTTTTTCTAATTAACATAGTTTTGTTTTAGGAATTAGTTCTAGAAGCTATATAAAAGGTTGTGCTTTGGAAATTTATGGGCTTTGAATAAGTCATATAAAATTTCAACTAGAATTTTTATTAAAGACTTAATAGAAGTAACTCGTAGTAGAATTAAATTTGGTGATTTTGAAAAAATTAAGGATCATTTTTGGTCAAAAGAAAATGTTTAGACAATATTAATATTTATGCAAAAGTTTAGACACTAAATTTCGTAGTACTTACAATTTTTATAAAAAAAAATTTATTTAAGAATTACTTCATTTTATTTTTGAACAGATTTTACAAGGGGCTGAATTCGAACCCCAACCAACCCTAGGAGAGGAAGAATGCATCATGAGTAGCTATTGCCACTTGACACGAAGGACTCGTGCATTTAAGAATTACTTCATGTTAGGAAATAAATTTTAAATTATCATTCATATGTATTATGCCCAATAAAATGAAGTAAAAGTAAAAATATATACTGTATAAAATAATACTAATACAATTTGACTTTAACTTTAAGGAGAAAAACCATAAATCAAAGGAGGAATTGACCGAAATTTCAGAGTGAACGGGAAGGGCATATTCTGCTTCGTTCTTTTAGTACGCGGAGGAGGCGTTGTTGGGCGATCCAAGTAGCCGCCATGGCCAGACAAGCAGCAAGACTCATCAACTCTCTGTCCTCAAAGATTCGCCCCCGCGAACCCCAGATATATCCACTCACCCCTTCTTCCTCTTCTCATTTCTTCACCCAGTCTCGGTCTTTCGGATCGGCTCCCCCGCCCCCGCCGGCGGTGTTCGTGGACAAGAACACCCGTGTTATTTGTCAAGGAATTACTGGAAAAAATGGTACCTTTCATACCGAGCAAGCCATCGAATATGGCACTAAGATGGTAAGTGGGTTTCTTTGTTGGGTATTTATTATTCTGTGAATCAGTTTAGTGCTTGATGGTTCTTTGATATGTTGTTCATTTTGTCTGCTCTGTGATCATGTGGATTCCTGTCATTTTAGTATGTGATGTGATGGTACTACTAATCTATGTGAAGAAGAGACAACCTTGTCATTAATAATCCTGTCAATTTTTTCTCAAATCTTAACGTGGACCATCATTAAATAAAATCCTGTCTAAGATGCAGTATTTCATTGTATGATTGAATCTTGTCTGTATAAGGTTAGCTTCCAACTTTTGACAGGTGCTTGAGGAAAATGATGAAGGAACTGTTGAAATTGTTCTGAGATTGTTTTAGAATAGAGTCTGTTTTTGTTCCCAAAGTAGATTATTGACATCAGTTGTTGAGATTTCTTCTTACTTGCATATTGTACACCCTGGATGCTTCTGTAGGTTAAATTTGATAATCCTAGGTTGCTCTTCTATTATTAATTTCTTTTCTCCTTCTCTTTTAAAGGTTGGTGGAGTTACACCAAAGAAGGGTGGAACAGAGCACTTAGGACTTCCTGTTTTCAACTCAGTTGCTGAAGCAAAGGCTGAAACAAAGGCTAATGCTTCAGTGATTTATGTTCCACCACCTTTTGCCGCAGCTGCTATCATGGAGGCTATGGAAGCTGAGCTGGATCTTGTTGTGTGCATCACAGAAGGAATCCCTCAACATGACATGGTAAATGAAATGGCAACCGCTTCTGTTAAGTATCATCTATCCATATCATATCCTAAGTCTGTTCCTTGGTAGGTCTCTATGCTTTAGGTACACGTGATATCGTGATGCAATTTGGATGGGTTGACAGGATATTTCTTGGAAAAGTAGGAGATAATGTGGCAGGGATGCTGGTCTTTCTTCTATGGTGTCATCTTTTTTCTGATTTTTATATACTTACTGATTCTAACATCACGTGTGTAAAATAGGGCTGAAGTTTAGAACTGTTTGCAAGCTACCCGCTCAGCTTGTTCATTAAGTTGAGATTGAACCTAAATTTTAGGCACATTTAGTAAATGAGTTTAGCTTGAGCTTAGGGGTGCTCTGCTCATTTATGTTTTTGAACAAAGCAATTTGTACTTCAATTGTATGCTTGAAATATTAATTTAGTTTTTTTTATTAATTCACTGAAACTTATTTTGCCTTAGCTATTTTTTAGGTAACTTAGGTGTTTATAGAGAGCATCATGTTAACATTGATATCTTTGTATTGCAGGTGCGTGTGAAGGCTGCTCTTAATCAGCAATCAAAAACCAGGTTGATTGGCCCAAACTGCCCTGGTATCATCAAACCTGGAGAATGCAAAATTGGAATTATGCCTGGATACATTCACAAACCAGGGCGTGTAGGAATTGTATCTCGATCAGGCACATTAACATACGAAGCAGTAAGATTTTATTATTATTGTTATTTTTATTTCTTGAATATTTCTTTCGCTGTTGGCTTCCATTCATTAATTTATTATCCCTTAGGCTGTGTCTATACAACATTGCTATGCTGTAGGCTTGTGGGTAATGACAAAGTTGCAATGTTCCTCTATTGCCTTTAATATCTGCCATTTGTATTTCAAATATTGCTTTTGAGAAACCACCTTATATGGCTATGGTAATGTTCCCAAACCTTGTTACCATTTTCTTTTATATAGAAAACCTTATTATCATTAATTAAAAGGTATTTTGGGCCCCAAATAAGATTGTTAAACAAGACACCTGTTCATGTAGATGAAGGTGTTGAAACTTATCATTTTGAATCATGTTTGATACTAAAGTTGATCCACCCTAATAAAAGCAGTGGTTATGCTCGATTACTGTATCTAAATAAGGAATTCTTTTCAATTGAAAATCAGACTGTGTCTTCTGAGTTTAGAGCAGTTGTATCTAAAATCACACAGGCATACATATTAATGAAGATGTTGGAAAGATGAATTGCGTTAGCCCTTCAAATCCATATACTTTGATGCTAAAGTCAATCTGCCCAATATAAGCAGTGGTTGTACATGGCTTCCTATCAAAATAAGGAGTGCAACTCAAGCAAGCATTTGACTGGGCCATTTGAATTTTGAACAGTGTTGGCTATTTATAATCACTTTTTGCAGTATGTAAATGATTATGTTGTGTATGTGGCAGGTTTTCCAAACAACTGCAGTTGGTCTGGGGCAATCAACCTGCGTTGGTATTGGTGGGGATCCTTTTAATGGAACTAACTTTGTTGATTGTGTAACAAAATTCCTTGCAGATCCTCAGACAGAAGGTAATGACTGTAAATCCTGGCATTTATTTTCCCTTGGCTGATCACTATTATCATCAATCATCGATGCCATTATTTTGGCCTTCTTTTGTACTTAGATTAATAAATATTTGTAATCAAAAGTGCAACTGACTAGAGATTACTCATGAGGTTTGGCTCAAGTGGCTGGTGCATTTATGCAGCCACAAAAGAAGTTTATTACTTTATCCGTATTTGGTGGGAGGTTGTTAGCTGGTTAATCTCATTTGAACTGACAATAGTGTAATGCATGTCATCTAATTGTGACAATTGCATTTCAGGTATCATTCTAATTGGAGAGATAGGGGGCACTGCAGAAGAGGATGCTGCTGCACTCATTAAGGTATTGTAATAGTAATATTTAGCGCTGAAGAATAGATTTAATGTATTGAATTTGCAAATCCTTTTCTATGTACATAGAGTTGGACTATTTGACAATTTCTCATAATCTATTTTTTATATCATAGATATTATGTTTGATATTGCACAAGTATCTGTCGGGATCAATGCATTACTTGTTCTGTGACTCTTGCCCAAAATACTCTCTGAATGTGTATTGCTTGCAATAAATTACTGGGTGAGCTGTGCTGAACCACCAGCATGGATCTTGATTAGCAAGATCAATGTGTTAGAGCTGATGACTTGATTAATACCAGATAGCATCTACATTCCAAACATTAGATCTTTTTCATCCAATTTAAACCCCTAATGAAGCCCATAACAATCCTAGTTATTCTGATTTTTCATGCATAATTTTGCAAAGATAAATGCATAACTGTGTAAGATTCAATGGCTTCAAAAGTTTTCTGGATCTAACAGCTGCATTTGTTTAGGTCCTCTGTCCTGTGACCCTGTCTCTCCCTGGGTCAATGGTAGTCTTGGACTTGCATGCTGAATTGGGTTCATTTCATGCTGGTTTCTTGCTGTTACTTCAATGATGCGAAGTATATAAGCTACGGCTTGATAGAAAAACATTGAGTGGCTTTATCAAACATTAAACTTTGCATTTCTTTAGCACTTCCATAAAATTGCTATATGTTTGTTAGTATATAACTTACTTTGTCAGTTGTGATAATTAACACTGTGGTATTGTATAACAAATGAAACAGGAAAGTGGTACTGAAAAGCCTATTGTTGCCTTTATCGCTGGACTTACAGCTCCGCCTGGCCGTCGAATGGGTCATGCTGGAGGTATGACCTTAGTTCCAAGTTTTTTCAATGTTGTAGTTTCTTCTATTAATAGCTTTCTGATGGAACCATTAACTCCCTCTCTTTATAGGCTATGTAGCATGATAAGTTTTGCCATCCATTCTCATGTTTTGTTTCTGTTCATGAAATCTAGCATTTAGAACTGAAAAAAATTTAGATCAGTATTTAAGTTGAAGAATTTTACTTAAAATTTTCTGGAGGTTATGTTGTTTAATTACTAATATTGTTTGTTACTTCTTCGTCACTATTACTTCATTGTACAGCTATTGTATCCGGGGGCAAGGGTACTGCTCAAGACAAAATCAAGACTCTAAGAGAAGCTGGGGTGACAGTTGTTGAATCACCGGCTAAGATTGGCACTGCAATGCTTGATGTCTTCAAAGAGAGAGGTCTTGTGAATTAGTTTCACATGGATTTGTCCTATACTTTTGCCCGCTTTTCTCTCTTCCAAATTTCTTTTTTATATTTAAATTGAGGAGAAAATTCTCTCTATTATCCTCATTTAATTTAACGTCATGGAAATTTGTTTTGGGTATCAAAACAAGAAGTTACACTTGCAGGACTAAAATCTTGATATAAACCTGCAGAATTCAAGTGAAAAGCTGTCTTTTTTAAGTACCACTTTTTGGGTCATGTCATAGGAAAATAAGGAGGTTTAGCCAAATCTCATTGTTAAGTGTTATTCTTATTTTTTTCTGATAATTTGATATCATGTTAGGGCTAATAATTTATATAAGATTTACACTTGTTGGGGTACGCTGGAGTTTAAATTATCAGTTGTTGGTCTTCAAATCCTATGTTGAGATGTGTTGGTGACTATGACACCATCATTTTCTACCGTTTGGTTTGGAAACCAATTAACTGATGGTTTATCCTCTATTTACCCATGTAAGTGGATTTGACTCTTCTACTATTCTCCACCACATGATGCTCCATTCGTGTAAATTGAGTTTGTATAAGAATTTAGCCAAGGAAATTGAAAGGAAGGAAAAAGAAGGGATGAATGAATGGTTTTTAAAAGAAATAAAGATGGATATATAGGACGAATGCTCGATTTTGTGGTCCATATTTTGTAACTGCAAGTTGAAAACTGAGTAGGGGATAAGTCTACTTTCAAATGGGCTTAGTTCTCAATTTCATGGTTTTAGTTGTATGTATAAATAATACTATGCAATGTGAATTGCATTTTTTATCATTGTATTAAAACATTTTCCTGTCAAAAAATTTCAAAACTGGATTTGAAATGACATTCATGCCTTTATACACTGAGTTTCGAAGCATGATCTAAAAGAGTAGTGAATTCATTTCCATATTTGCACAAAACAAAGGAAGGAGCCGTCTGTATATCTGCAGCACCTTTTTCCCTTTAGTCAATTTTCACCATTGCATTGCATTACATTTATTAATAAGATATATACTAAATCAAGTCTTCCTAATCACACCCTCGAAATTCATATATACATCCATTATATTTGTTTGATAGAAATACATCCATTATATTATATATATAGATATTAATGTTTATCAACTGAACTCACAAAAAATTAAGTAGAGAAATATTTAAAATTATATGGCTTATTAAAGTATTATGAGAAATATTAAAATAGTCTCATTCTTAAAAAATTAGAGAATGTTTTAGTTTCTTTTAATAAAACTTTATTACAACAACGTAATTTTAAGACATTTTTTCAATTAATTTTTTATAATACAGCATGATACTTACTTTTTATATGAGTATAAATTCATTTACACATAAGTTTTACATATTATATGTATACAAAATCTCAACAATTCATCTCTCTACTTTTAATAGTTAAGATTTATTCACATATATTAAATATAATTATTTTTTTATCTAAAAAATTATAATAAATCTTAATTATTGAAAGTAAAAAGATAAATAATTAAAATTTTATATAAATATAATATACAAGGCTTATACGTACGTTAACCTCTCTTCATATATATATATATATATTTTTCATATTGAACTATATAATAAAAATATAGTTCAAAATTTATTA